CACACACACACACACACACACACACACACACACACACACACACACACACACACACACACGTGTGTAATGGACTACTTATTTCTAAGAAATAAGACTGTTTACACTCAATTTATTTCATTGATTAAGGTCAAATCAATGTACAGATTAATGTAGATGATTATTAGTCAATTACATTACACTTAGGCGGCATGGCTCAGTTGATAGAGCTGATGCCTCTCAGCAAGAAGGTTGCCGGTTCAAATCTCGGCCCAGGGAGCTTCCTAGGTAGAGCCTGCATGTTCTCTCCGTGCATGTGTGAGTTCTCTCCGGGCACTCTGGTTTCCTCCCACAGACCAAAAACATGACTGTCAGGTTAATTGATAACTCTAAATTGTCTCTAGGTGTGAGTGAATGGTTGTCTTTCTCTATGTGTGGCCCTGTGATGGACTTGTGACCTGTCCAGGGTGTACACTGCCCCCCACACTGTGACTGCTGGATATGGGCACCAGTGTCCCCTGTGACCCTGAAAGGAATACGTGGGTACAGATAATGGCTGGATGGATACATTACACTTGGATGTAGAATTAAATCATTTTTATTAGTAATATTTACACATTGAGGAGTTTTTTGCTTTTAATTTCACTCAATATTTTTGTGTAGGTTTTAATTAATTCTGCACTGTATTCTATTCAAATTTATTTATATTAAATGAATAACTATTAAGAGTTTCATTTAATTAATATTCACTGAATTCCAAACATGGCATAATTTAATTAATTATACTGCTTGTAATCTGTGGCCTCATTTTTATTGAGTAGATATGGTTTATTTTTTCTTACAGTGTGTGGCATTGATCTGCTCTCTAACCTGAGCTGCTGTTAAGCTGTCATTTCTGAGGCTGGTGTCTCGGATGAACTTATCATCTGCAGCAGAGGTGACTTTTGGTCTTCCTTTCCTGGGGCGGTCCTCATGTGAGCCAGTTTCTTTGTAGCGCCTGATGGTTTTTGTGACTGCACTTGGGGACACTTTCAAAGTTTTCCCTTTTTTTTCAGACCGACTGACCTTCATTTCTTAAAGTAATGATGGCCACTTGTTTTTCTTTACTTAGCTGCTCTTTTCTTGCCATAATACAAATTCTAACAGTCTATTCAGTAGGACTATCAGCTGTGTAGTGTATCCACCTTCTGCACAACCCAACTGATGGTCCCAACCCCATTTATAAGGCAAGAAATCACACTTTTTAAACCTGACAGGGCACACCTGTGAAGTGAAAATCATTCAGGTGACTACCTCTTGAAGCTCATCAACAGAATGCCAAGAGTGTGTGATCAAAGCAAAAGGTGGTTACTTTGAAGAACCTAGAATATGAGACATATTTTCAGTTGTTTCACACTTTTTTGTTTAGTATATAATTCCACATGTGTTAATTCATAGTTTTGATGCCTTCAGTGTGAATCTACAATTTTCTTAGCCATGAAAATAAAGAAAACTCTGTGAATGAGAAGGTGTCTCCAAACTTTTGGTCTGTACTGTATCTATATTAAACATTTCAGACGAGGTTACTACATTGTAAGTACAATAATGATAAACACATATTTTAACATATTGATATTGTACTGTATATTACTGCATTATAAATATTCACAACTGTCAAAGGGAGACTTATCGTAAAGTGTAAAATAGTACACTTATTATTGATGACAAACATTTATAAATGCCAGAAGTTAAACTTTAATGTGAAAAGCACCATTTTTAAAGCTTTGTGTTGATTATCGATATTTGAAATCATTGTTCAAACAAGTAACTACGTCAACAATGATGATGTATCAAAAAAGTTAAAAAATGTCATGTTAACATACCAAATAATCCCACCCCATCCAAAATAGTGTACAGTTTTACACTTTACAATAAGGATTTCTTTAATATTTGTGGATATTTATAATGCAGTAATACAGTACAGTATTATATGTTAAAATACGTGTTTTCTAATTATTATTGTGCTTACAAGGTAGTAAACTAATCTGAAATGTTTAATGCCCAAACAGATTTGGCTCAGTATTGGGAAAGAAACCGGACAGTTTAGTCTTTTTGACCTTAATGCATAACATTTATTAATGATTTAAAAAGTGTTTACAGATGAATTAATAACCAATCTATAAACTCTTTAAAAGCCATTTATAAGGGGTGCTTTACTGTAAAGTGGTACCCTTTTTTATTACTGGTATACACCTCACCAAAACTGGAGATTTGCGTGAAAGGATGTTGAACAAAGACGTGGCCCCTCTATGAATATTGTGGCCCCTTGATGACCCCTTACTGGATCCGCCCCAGGATCAATGGTCTTCGGACATGTGAGGACAGAGTGGAAATGGAGGATGAGGATTCGCAGTGGTGACCCCAAAAGGGAACAGAAAAGAAGATGTTTAGGACAAATTATTGTCAATATGTAATAGTGACGACTGTAAGCATTTGGACTAAATGGGACTAGCAACACAAAATCACAAAGAATATCAGGAGATACAAACATCTCAAGTCATTTTGAGAATTTTAAGAGCACTTCCCCTGAACCTCCAGCAGGTGGCAGCATTGTGCCAGAGCTGCTTGTTTTCTTTGCTGGAGCTGCGCGCGAGTGATTTTTTTTTTTTAGCTGCCTTCTCTGTGTTTTAGCAAGGAGGAGGTCTCAGCTGCTAACATGGTGCATCCCGTCGCCGGTGCTCTGTATGAAGGCAGAGAAGCCTGACAGCTAGCGTGTGTCTGTACATCGATAGACGAAGGAAGGCACCGACATTGGCGGTAACGGACCCCAGCGGAAGATGGCGGGGATTATTAAAAAGCAAATCCTGAAACATTTGTCCAGGTAAGTGTTGGGCTTTCGTGTTAGCCAGCTAGCCCTTCTTCTTGGCTGATGATTTTTTTTTTTTTTTTACCATAACCTAACTACACGCTGACCTCATTTCATTGCTGTTTGCCACTCGGCTACGTTGGTTGCTTCACGTAACAAAACAACAAGATGCTAAATATAAAGACGGGTGAAAGAAAGAGTGAACGCAGCTCGGTAAACAGCTCCTTCCCTGATTTCTCAGGCTGTTTTTAACCGTTTCTGCGTGTTTTGACTCTTTATGAAGCTCTGAACCTCTGAAGAGGACGTGACAGAAGATGCATCTGAAGTTTCATGCTTCATGCCTCATCTGTCAGCACATTCTAACATTTATACATGTATTTTTAAAATAATAACGCAGTTTTTTAAAATAAAACTACTTGTAAAATCCATTCTTCCACTTGGAGACAAGAGTGAGCTTCCTGAGGAGCAGACATCAGGACATTACTGGATAAAATCAGTGTTTGCTGTCAGACCAGGCAGTGATGCTGTATCAGCCTTATTCAGTCTATTTCAATGACAGTTTAACTTCAGCATTCAGCAGCAGATTCTGCTCATTTTATTTACTTTATATGTAAAGTTGCCACTCAAGAAAAACAAATTTATCCTCTTTTTCAACACTGAAGTCCCCCTTTTTATTTTTACAGCCAAATTGCACTGCTTCTAGTTGTTAAGTACATAACTTAGGTTAAAGAGCAATGATGAAATGTGTTTTACTGCAACAGTCTGGGATAAAGTTGATCCAAGTTGAATTCGGTTTCACTTTTCGCCTCTCATTAGTGTGTCAAAGTTGTTTGTTTTGAATTCTTTTGAACCTGTTTTGGTCCAAAACGTCACTTTGTAAAACTAATCTTGTTCTTTGGGCTTAGTTTTGTACAAAGACTCCTTTCTCTCCAATAACCTCTTAAATATTTGCAGCCTCTATAAACCTGGCTAATCCCTGCAAACTAGCAAAATGCTCATTGTGTGAATAACGAGCTGGCTATAATCTTTGATCTGTTGTGGGTTTGATCTAATGCACGCCAACAGTTTCACTTTTTCACTTGTTCTAAAAATAAGTAAAGTTGAAGAAAGTGATTGTACAATACTGAACCGTTTGATCAAAGCTTTTTAAATCAGTGTATCCAACCTGAGCTGTACTTGTTGACTCAGTTTTGCACTTTTAATGTCATACAATTAATGCCTTAATTGTCACACAAAAATGTTACTTTATTCAGCTCAACAGTGCATTGTAGTCAGTTTCTATGGGGCTTAAAAAGGCACATTTTTACAGGGGCAGCTATAGCTTATCAGCATGACTCTTTCAGTTCTACTTCCTCCAGAATGTCAGAACTGCAGTTGGGTTTTTTTGTCCTGAACTCCAGAAAACTTCAGATGTTCGCTCTGAAACGTTTCATTAACTTTATCTTAAATGGTTTCTTTCCCTTCAGGTTCACCAAGAACCTTTCCCCGGACAAGATAAACCTCAGTACCCTGAAAGGTGAAGGGCAGCTGTCCAACCTGGAGCTCGATGAAGAAGTTCTCCAGAACATGCTCGACCTGCCGACGTGGCTGGCTGTCACTCGGGTCTACTGCAACAAGGCCGCCATCAGAGTACGTCCCCCTACCTGCTGATTTTGTTTGTGGAGCCAGTGCACACGAGACGCAGCATCGTTTACGTCACGGCGTCGTTTTCAGACCGAGCTGAAAGTGTTGCTTTTCCCAGAGGCACGGCGTTTTTCTTTTTGCTCTGTGTTTGTAAAGGAAACGAGCAGTGGCAAATAATGGACGGGTAAACTGTGATTCAGAGGGACACTAAAGGCCAGAGGCTTGAGTGAGCCTCAGATATGTTGGCTGGTGTACGCTGAGCTGTCAGGCTATTTTATGTTCTATGTTGCCACACAGTCCCAGTAATACTGCAGTGATGAGGATTCAAAGGGTTTTAATCAAATACAGCTTCAAAATAGAAGTAAGCATCTCACAGTGTTTTAGACCAGTGTTTCCCAAAGTTGGGGTCGGGACCCAAAGTGGTTTCCTGAAACATCAAGGTGGGGTCCTGAAAAGATTTTCTGAATTAATTACATTTTTGCCTTAGTTGTTATAAAGGAGTGAGGTCAGTTTGTGTATAAAATGTGTAAAAAAATATTGTTACTATGCCCATGTTTTGTTGACCTGATTCAAATGTTTATCATCCAAAAATAGCTGGGGGCACAGGTCTCTGCTACTGTTATTTTGTGGGTCAAAAGCTGAAAAGTTTGGGAACCACTGCACTTTGGTTCCCAAAGTTGGGCTTGGGACCCAATTATGGGTCATGAAGCACCTTGGATAATCTCCAGAAATCAATTTAAAGGGTAATAAAATAATTGCTGATGTAATATTTTCTCTATAATTATTACAAAAACACAAAATAAATAAAAATAAGTATTTATATTTGTGTACAAGCTGTTTGGATAGTCAAAAATCCTGTGTTTTTAGGGTTATTAACGACGTTTGTGTACTCAGACCAGTAATATTTGGGGTCACAAGGTTTTGCCATGGATATTTTGTGGGTCAGAAGACAAAAAGTTTGGGAACCACTGTTTTAGACGACCGTTAGAGATGAAGAATCGTGATATCCAGTTAAAATTTGGTGTGGTACTATCTGAGACTTGTCATTTATCAGCACATCTTATGGTATTTTCAAGAGTTGTCCAAAACGGCTCTAACTCTATGATTTTTCAACATAAGACGAACAGTTTGAAACTCTGGCATGAAGCATGGTGGTTGATGTTCATTCCTTCAAGAAATGGTAGACCTTTTGTTGCCCCCCTGTCACGGAGCGAAGAGGGGACTCGGAAATACCCTTCATCCGTTTTGAGAGCTGAACCAATTGAACAAAAAGCTATGAGACAACTTTGATGTTGGTGTGTGGCTGCATCCAGGTGTAAGAAAAGTCAGTATTGGAAAATAGGTTGCCACGTCGCAATCCAAGATGGCCACCGCCATGTATGTATTTATTAGGGGTGCAACAATACATGTACCCGTATCGAACCGTACCGAACAGTGCTGTATCGAACAATACAGATTAAAAAAATTTACTTTATCAACTTGTCTTCTGAAGATGCTCTGTGTTGAAGGATCAGTGGATCTGTGTTCGACTACTCCACCTAGGCTGCATTTCTGAGCGCAGGTCCACTGAGAAACTTGCTGTTTCGGCAACATTTAATTAAAAAACTGTACTTTTGAGGTTAAACAAATGTTCATAATTAATATAAATAAATTACAAGTTAAAAGGGGCATGGAAATTTCTCTTTTTTGTATCAAAAAAATATCGAACCGTGAGACTAAAGTATCGAACCGAATCGAACCGGGAATTTCCTGTATTGTTACACCCCTAATATTTATGTGTGTGCAAATGATGGAAGATTCAAAAGAGTCAAAAACTTTATTTGCCATTTGTTCATAAACCAGTAGTCTAGGCACATTGGAGTTCTTGTGCAGAGCTCTCAGAGTCACAGTCAAACATGTCAAATAACACCAAACACAGATAAAGAAAAAATAAGGGGGGGGGGGCGGCTTAGGGAAAGTTTTATGATTGTGAATAATGTGAGTGATGAAAAAGAACAAATATGAAATCTGTGCATGAACTAGTAGCCCAGTCAAACATTAGCACCAAACACAGAAGAAGAAAACAAAGAAGAAAGGAAGCGGGGACAACAAAAGACAGACATA